GGCAGTATAAATTGGGCCCCATCCCCTTAAGTTTGAGATTTATGATGAGGATGAAACTTCTCGTGGACCATCTTAGAAAATACCGCTTCACCTTTGGCAATGTTCAGAAGAGAACATGATCTCAGCAAAATCAGTGCCATAGCGTCTCAAGAACTCTTCCCCTTGTTCCTTTCTCAAAAAAATCAGAATATTCCTGTGTTGAAGAGACAACTTGCAGTGACGAAATCCTCAGGAGGTAAAGTAGCATCATGAGTCTCAAGGAGGGAGACGAGAATACCATATATTTCTGGTTTGTTTTCTCTCTGATGCCAAAAGTGATTTTTGAGAGAGTTGATGAGCAGGTATTATGCTGGTAAATGCGAGAGATACTGAGGAAGCCTTCATCGATAGCTTTGCTAAGCCATCATCCAAAACTCCACTCAAAAGATACACCCCCTGGATTGGAACCCAATAAACCTCAATCAGAGCTTTTTTTTCTCTTGAGCTTCTCTTCATTGAAGATGAAATTCTGGCGGCTAAGTCCCCTAGCTGGTAAGGATTTTCCGTTGTTATTCTTTGTTGCATGTTGGAATACTCTCAAATCAGATATAATGAAGGCGTTCTAGGACTTCTTTTTCCTTTATAGAATGGTATTATTATGCTTAGTGTCAGCAAAACCTATAATACATATATATATGCTTACTCCCCAAAAAGTTGGAAGCCAAGAGTGTGAAAGACTACGCAGAGCCATCTGCATCACCACTAGTCTTACCTCATGACATCACCTAGCATCAGTTCACTTGATTATTGATGTCTGACAAATCCTAAATTCAAGCCTTTCAGCGTTGAATTATTTGAAGGTTTAGAACTCAACCCTGACATTAAGTCTTTTGATGAAAAAGATTGCCTATTTTGGGACTTTATCCAATCTTTGAAAGGGTTTTTGGTAATAGACGGAAATCTTGGTCTTTGGTTGCCTCTCAAATGGCAACGGTTCCATTCTTTTATCATCAATGGTCGTCCAAGTGGAAAATTTCAGGCCTCAACAGGTAGTATACAAAGTTGGCCTCTCTTCCCCTTCATCTTTAGTTTCATGATGTTTATTATTTATTATTTATTTGCTTATTATAATAATTTTTAGCCGGATCCTTCACAAAGGTCAATCCCTCTGGTTTCCCAGATGGCTTTTCTGTTGGCAGCTGCTCCATAAACCACCCACGTTATGTTGATAGCGCCATTATTTTTCCCTACAGATTTAATTGGGACTTAATTGGACCGAGCCCTGGTATAAAAAACCTAGGTGATAATCTTCAAATTCAGAATTAAAAATGGGTAATCCTCTTCCCATCAAAATGTGACTTATCTTCCCAAGGCCATAAAATACTCTGATGCCTCCTCTGACTGAAAACATAAACCTTTCTAGATTGAATCTCCTTGGTCTCATTCTGCCAATGTCCTCCGAAACAGTGCCAACATCCTCAATGTTCTTCAATCACTTGGCCCTCAGACTATCTCGGTCTCAATTTAAATGGCTCCCCCTAATACGTTTCCTTTTGGGAACCAACCATTGATGTGGTAGGTACACCCTTATTCTCGCTTCCTTCTTAAATCTCCCATTTTACTACATATTCCTTTTCAAGTCGCCAAGAAACGTCATCTCCACTGTTGTCAAATTTCTTCAGAGCTTTTGTGATGCCGACAATCCCTTCATAAGTTCCCATATAGTCAACTGGAAAAATGCCTCTTGCCCCATCATAGGTTTTGGAGACCTATTCCAACATAGCCAGGTATAGCCAAGACGACATTTTGCTGTAGAAAATGAAGCTCTTTAGAGAAGGTATATTTGGCCAAATATTCCCTTACCCCGCAGATTGGTGGCCTAATTTTCACTTGAATATCAGGCTAAAGTTTCTTCAGTTTGTGCTTCCCAAAGACTACTGGTGCTACGAGGGCTCCATTTCAGTGGTCAAACTAGAATTATTTGAACTAAAGTGGTGTACGCTATTATTTGGAGATGGCTTGAGAGTATCGAGAACTTTTTTTAAAAAAATTATATATATAAGCTGAATTTTAAACTTTTTTTTTTGAAAAATTAGATAACTTTTGGAGCCTTATTTTGAAACTCTTCTCTTCTTCTTGGCGTCTTCTTTCTAAAGATCATTTTTTTAAATTATGAGCTTTTGCATATCTTTGCTAAGTGGAAAGCATTAATGGTAACCCATTGGTATTGGTCTAGTGGGGATATCTTTTTTTATTTTTTATTTTTTTTCACTGTCCAAGAAACAGAAAATTTCATTGATTGAATGAAGTCTTGGGGTATATCTCATCTACCCTTTTTGTATATCTTCTTTTTATTTTACTTTTCTATGTTTCCTATAAAAGAAAAGAAATCTCAGCACATCCACAATTTGTTTTTGGGTTGTCAACGGTCTTCATCTCAAAATTTTGACGGATGCCTGGAGATGTTCCTCCCCTCTTCCCTCTTACCAAATCTTTACAGCTTAACTTCTGATGTCAATCTACCGCTCATCTTTGGAACAGGGAGCTTTCTGTGTGGAACATAAATATCAGAAGGCAACTTTAAAGACAAGGTGTTCCAAGATTGGCTGTGAGTATCTTTCATGGGTTTCATCGATGGTTGTTGCCTAACATCGGTTCCAGATTCTTGGCACTAGCCTTCAAACCTGTTGGGTTTCTTTAGTTACAAATCTCCTCCAAGACTTAAATCTCCACAAAGGCAATTCATTCCAAGTTTATATAAAATTATAAGGAAAGGGGAACTTCCTAAGAAAATTGAGATCTATAAAAGTATGAACACCCAAGAGAAGCTCCAAAGAAGGAATACGCAGCTGATCATCTCCCCTACTAGATGTGTTGTGCAAGAAAGACTCAGAATCCCAGGATTACATAATATCCACTGCGGGGTTGTCTCCTCCTTTTGGCATTTCCTCTTAACTCTTAACCTCTTTCGGTGCAGCCCTGGTCCTTATCCAGAAGGTAAACTTAAACCTTCTAACCCTCATGCTCTCTGACCCCTTCAAGATTTTTTGGGTCGATATCATCAACAGTTTCTTTTGAATTATGTGTCTGCAGACAAACCAATGAATTTTTGTAAGTCAAGAATGAAATATCATGAATCTTCTAAATCCTATTATCCTAACTGCCGCTGATTGTGTAGAAGATAATACAAAAAAGCCCCAAGACTTCATTCAATTCCTATGCAACTCATCCACACTCGTGCTCTCTGAAATGTTATGTTCCTAGCTTGGCTGGGGCTTTTGTTCTCTCTTTTGTCTATTTCACACAACGAAATTTTGTTTCTTTTCAGCCTTCCTACGTACTTCTGGAATTTGTCCTTGTTATTTAGTCCCACTATTTATTGTGAAAGCGTGTACCACACTCAGTTTTAGCAATATGGAAAACATTTTTGAAGTTTGTAGTTGAGATTCAAAATAGAAAAGAAACATGAGAATTGGTTTTTGATCTTTATTGCAGTGCTCTTGGGGTAGCAAACCCACACCACCCGGAACAGCATCCAATCCACTTCCACTGCCGGCAATGGCTTCCACTCCTGGCCTTTCAGCAACTGATCTATTGGCTTATGAGCGGCAACTATCACTAAGCAAGATGGGTGGTGTCCATGCAGCACTTATGCACCCTCAGGGTCATCCTCTGAAGCAAGCACCAATGGGAATTGGAGCAGCTGCTGCTAGCCAAGCATTATATGATGGTGGCTTCCAGAACATTTCATCCCAGCAACTTATGTACTACCAGTAGTAAATATGGCTTAGCTTTTGCTTTTGCTTTTGTTTGATGAAGTCTATTTATATCTACTGGCTTTTTCTGAGATTATGAGCCTTCAGTGCGCCCTCTATATCCGACTTTTTCCTTCTTTTGGTGATCAGATTCTTTTACACCTACAGATGGAAAGTATGTTTGTTACACCTTTTTTTTAATGTTGTTAGTGCCAGTGGCAGCGGCTATGGGCATTAGAGAAAGCCTGTTTACCAATCATAAAGTAAATTTTAACTATGTTTTCTTTCTGTAAGACAATCTTGTTGTTACATAATATAGAACATATTCAACTGATTAACCATGGCAGCTTTCTGCTCCCAATAAAAGAGAGCAAAAGAGGCAGAAGAGATCTGAGAGCGTACTGCAAATAGTGGGCTCTTATTTATTGGCGTCTCTGCTTTCAGAGCTCATCTATGATTGTATATATTGTTTTTATTGTTTAACCTCCAAAGACATTAATGATTGATTTTAGTTTGATAATATTATTATTAGGTAACAAATTTCTTGCAATAATCCCTAGTGAAATACTTTCACAACTCAACTTAATTAAGAAAGTGTGAGATTCCTCATTGGTTGGGGAGAACGAAATATTCTTTACCTAACAAAGGAATTAATAAGGGTATAGAAACCTCTTACAAGGAAGCTCGAAAGGAAAAACTCAAAGAGGACAACATCTATTTGCGGTGGGCACAGACTGTTACAAAAGTTGTACAGGTCAATTAGTTGTTACGGCTCGTTTAACCGGACTCAATTAGATGTATTCAATCAAAGGAAAATACCAGTAAGGGAATTAATGCTTGGAAAAATCATTTCATTCAGATGGAACAAACTAGAGAATGATACAGATCCTGCAGTCATTCTCAACTCAACATCTACATAAGAACGCTAATTCTTCCGCAGAGGAGCTACCTACCATTGATAAACACTGAGTACTTGTCTACATTTTGAAGTTTTAAAATACAAGTGGTGATTGCAAATAGATCAGTCTGTTTCCAGCCTCGCTATGTACTTATCATAAAAGAAGGCAGCTTTCTCAAGATCGCCTAGTTCAGTGTAGCAATCAGCAATTGCTCCAAAAGCTTCAGTGTTTCCTGATTTTTCTCCTTCTCGTTCAGAGATTGCCAAAACCATTAAATGGTATTTGATTGCTTCTTTGTACTTCCCCTGCCTCTGCAGTGAAGCCCCTGAAAGATCCATATCCCAGTTCTTGTCAAAGCGATTCCGACAATTGCTCCATAAATAATGGCATTTTATATTACAGTTGACAGAGAAACAAAGCTATAGCAAAAGATATGCATGGATCATTAAAGGCAACATTAGCCATTTCTAGGTGCATAACCTTAGCAATTTGCATTGCTGAAATTAACAGAAAAGATATTAGTTTTAGAAGGCTTTCGAGACATCTCCAAGGCCAGGCGGGACTCTGAAATTTAAATCTCGAGGTCGATGCTTATATCGATTCGTGAATTGGCTCATGCATCCTACAGAAGAAGACTCACACCTCCTATAGAGTTATTGATTGGTGAAGAGCCAGAATGCAGCATTGTGTACAAGGAGAAAGATGTACGCAGAGAATTAAGGGTTCCACATGGTGGCTTTAAGGCCTTGAATTCAATGAAGATAGCATTGTTCAAGATCTTTTGGCACTACCAACATGGAGTGACAAATATTCTGTTTTTTAGTAAAAGGAACAAGAACAGGCAGCAGGTTACTAGCTTTAATTCAAAACGCATCTGGATAATTCTGACGAACGGCTCCAAACAACTTGAAGGTGTTTTGTCTTTAAAGCAATATAAAAAGCAAGAGGTTAAATAGGTGATAAAAAACAAACCTAAGCCCCTTGCAGCCTTCTTCTCCTTTATCGGATCCTGCAGACCCTGAGCAAGCTCAAGAGCAGTCTTAAAATCCAGAAATGCCTTCTCTGGGTCTTGATTTCTCAAAAAGTTCTTTCCAGACTTCAATCGAGAGATTAACTCCTCCTTCCTTGGATCAACAATTACATCACTCTCGAATGTTCTTCCACCAACAGGAGCATAACTTAAGGTGGGAGCATAAGACTCAATCTTTGCTTGCCTTCTTAATGCCGCATTAATCTGGCGAAGTTGTTCATTTAACCGCTTCAGTTCTCCCTTTCTTTGCCGAGCAAGCAATCCTGTTAAAAGTATTGTAAACTAGACCAGCTTTATTTTCCCAATTCAAACTAGAAATGTAAAATTTTCACAAGATATTACAAGGATAATTACTATGGGTTACCGTAGAAATTTAATAGTAACACTAATATGAAATAAGGTGTCTTAATTATGCTACAAAGATTTCATGGTGGATGACAAGATCCATACATGCTGTTTAGATTTAACGAGGCTTTACTGTATTTTTTAAGTGTTAGAGAATTGTCTTTAAAATTATAAGTTACCATTAGTTAGTGGCCATTATGGTATTGATGAGCATGAAAGTCACAACCTTTCAATTAGCCATAAGTTATCATAAGTTTTATTTTCAAGGCTATAAATAGTCATTCATGTTTGTTGTTTTAGTATGAAGATTTTGGATATCATAATGAAAGTGGCATATTATGCTTCTTAAACTATGAGCTTGTTCCGTTGCATGTCTTGTGTTTAGATTTGCATGCTAGAGTCATTCAAGTAGTTTTGAACAAACTATCTTGTGGAGTGATTGAATAAGAGTTTAGAAACAAGTTTTCTTTACTTTTGATCTTGATCATCAAGGTAATCTTTAGAAACAAGTTTTCTTCAAAAGGCGGAAACTTGATCAAGTTGTCTTCAAAAGTTTTCTTTACTTTAGAAACAAGTTTTCTTTACTTTTGATCTTGATCAAGTTGTTTCAGTCGCCTATTGACAAAGGCAGAATACGAAGGACAGATCAAAGGTTTTCAGATTGGTAGTGAAGGCTTGAGCATAAACCACCTTTAGTTCGCAGATGACACAATCCTCTTATCTGATTTGATGAATGTCTCATCCATAAAAAACATGATTGAGATGGTAAAAACCTTCAAAGGATTCTCTGGACAAAATATCAATCTCCAAAAAACAGAGATCATGGGCATCAATATTAGCACAGAGATCATTGAAGAATTTGCTAGCATATATGGTTGTAAAAAGGGAGAATGGCCGAATATGTACCTAGGACTACCTCTAAAAGGAAATCACAAATCCTTTTCCTTCTGGAAGATTATTATTGAGAAAATAGAAAGAAGGTTGTCAACATGGTCATCACGTTGTACTTCAAAAGGCGGAAGACTTACCCTAATACAAGCTACATTATCCAACCTCCCTACCTACTATATGTCTCTATTTGAAATGTCACAAAAAGTGGCCGCAGATATAGAAAGACTTTTCAGAAATTACTTGTGGAAAGATAGTGCACACCTTGTTCGTTGGAATATTATAAACCTCCCAACAAAAAAGGGAGGTCGCGGTCTTCTCTCGATAAGGAAGAAGAACACAGCTCTCCTCACCAAATGGATATGGAGATATCATCATGAAGAAAAGGCCTTATGGCGAAATCTTATAAAGGCTAAATATACTCCTACATCAAACAAAGATCACCTCCCTCCATCTTCTACCAAAGGGCCTTGGAAGTACATAAAGAAACATCAAAATCTCATCACCCACCTAACTCGCCATAAGGTGGGGAATGGGGGAAGCACATCATTTTGGACCAACCCATGGATTGAAAACACCACGCTAGCTTTGAAGTATCCACTTTTGTACAGGCTTTCTCACAACAAAAAAGCCACGATTAAAGAAACGTGGAATGTTGTCAACAAATTTTGGGACTTGAAGCTTCGTAGGAATCTAAAGGATAATGAAGCAACAGAGTGGGCCGAATTAAGCCTTGACTTTGCCCTTGTGGTATTGTCAAACAAAGAAGACTCACTAACTTGGCTCCCCAGTGTTGACGGGGTCTTTTCTACAAAATCCTTGATGATGGACATGGGGGAAAAAGTAGAAGCAATAAATCCCACGCTAGCAAGGACAATATGGAAAGGACATCATCCTAAAAAGGTGAAGTTCTCCCTTTGGGAAATAGCGCATAAAGCCATCAGCACAAGTGAAAATCTTCAAAAAAGAATGCCTTACATCACTCTCTCTCCAAATTGGTGTCCACTTTGCAAGAAAGCAAACGAATCACAAAGTCACTTGTTTATGCAATGCACATACACTCAAAATTTCTGGACAACGATTCTTAATATATTTGGATGGCATCTCACATTTCCTACGGAGGTAAAGGATTTTTTGGATATGGCCTTAACGTACCACCCTTTCAAGAACGCAAAAGCCCTATTATGGAAAACCTCATCATGACTTTCTTTTGGAACCTGTGGAAAGAAAGAAATCAGAGAATATTTGCAGAAACGACACAGACCTACACAAAACTTTTCGACAATGTTTTTTACCAAGCTATATCTTGGTGTAAACTATCTAATATTTTTACTTCCTATAGTTATACCTCCCTCATTGCAAATTGGGAAGGTCCTTTGTAAACATATGAATTATACATCCCTCTGGTAAATTTCACTCATAAATAAAATTGTCTCTTACCAAAAAAAAAAAAAAAAAAAAAAAAAAAAAAAAAAAAAAAAAAAA